ATCCTCCAACCACTAAAATCTGTATGACAATTTCTTTACATTTTGTGAAGAAGGAAATTGAGCTCAGTGTCTTCAGAGGTTTCCATGTCATTTCCTTCAGTGGTTCTTGATGCAGCGCCACCACAGGTGAGGAGGGGAACATTGAATTGTTTGACACAACTGGAAGTGGTAAAATTAACAGCAGCAGCTGAAAATGTAGCAAATTTTGCTATTTTAGTCGACAATCAAACCAAATCTGCCAGACTATCAGGGGTAAAAATAGCCTCAATAACTACAAACCAAAACAAGATGCTTTCCATTTGAGATTGCTTGATTTACATTAGAAAGTAGCTGGTTAGAGGAGTAGCCCTCATATTATGACCTGTCGTGTCCTCATCACAGCTTAATGTTCTATTGATTAAGCCTGAAGCCTCACAGGCAGATTTATTCTCTTATTAGGGGCTCGTAATGCCTGATCAGGGCAGATTAAAGGTCTGCCACTGCCTCCAGCTACACTATCATTTAGACCCTTTCATTAGGACCTGATGGCTGTATCAACATAATTAGCCTAAGGATGGAACGCTGGAAAAACACAGCTGCTGGAGTACTAACAGATTTAAAACTAAACTGGAATACTGTAAGAAGTATTATTGATTTCTGCTTTATAGGATCTCTGATAATCTCAATAAATTAGCTGGATTGTTTCTGTTGTTCTGTAGCAGAGCTACAGTTACTCCATCTTCTGTCCAATGCTATATTACATCAATTTATTAAGAAGAATTTCTTCTCAATAATTAATGCAATGATTGACAACATTCATCCAAGGCTCCACTGTTGGTAGATATTGATTAAACTCAACCTCATAAAATCTTTGTCATCCTTTTCCTTTTCTATACTTAAACACATTTGACTCTGCAATATTTGTGCAAAATGTTAGCCAGTTATAGGAATTATTATCTTCAAGATAAAGCAACAGATTTTACATTAAAAAATTTCATATTTTCTTTTCCAAACCCTTTTTCAAATAGCTAAATGCCACATTAGCTAAGCGGCTAATTAGCATTAGCAGCAGAGCGCCTAATCCCATTTGTTGCTGAGAAATTACACGTTAAAATTAGATGTTGGTGATATTTAGAAAGTGGGAGTGGTAAGTTGAGAAATTAATTGAGGAAAAGTAAAAGATTCCCAAGTGGGAAAAAAACACTCAGATTACTGCTAACTAGCACAAAAGCTAACTTTTACTTTACAGCCTGACGTGTTATCTAATGGGACTGCATAGTTGTAAAATGGAAGGAAATGAATCAAAAACGTTTAAAAGTATTTTTATACATATATGTAGGCAAACATCTAGCCAAGTATATGTTGGGTTGTTTACCAAAACTGCTTCAATTTTTAAATTAAATTAAAACTTTTTTTTTACTATTTTTAGGTTAATAGATTTTTTTATCTAGATTTTTGAAACTTGTTGATAAAAAAATAATATAACATACAAATTAATCTTCCTGAAACTATTATTGTCATCCTTTATGCATATTTTACAAAAAAAACACCAAGGGGAAAAAAACACAAAGCTAACATTTTCAAAATTTTTAGCATATTTTAAAATATTGCTCAGTTCCTGATCATTTTTTACCTAAAATAAATAATGTGCCCCAGATTATGGCTGTGATTAATCAATTAATGAAAAAATCGTCAATTAATTTAGTCAAATATTTGACTTTCATTAACTCAAGTATATAGACTCAAAAAAAGTCAATTTAGTAAAAACAAAAATAACAGAGCAGTAAATAAACTGTACAACAGATATATAAATCTTCTCACGTATTAGCTTCACCTGGTTCAGATTTACTAAAGGAATGCTATTTTATTGCATTTTAGGCAACAAAATGTTTATTTTCTCATTTTAAAAGGAACTGAAATATTTGTTTACTTTCATCTTTTTATGTATTTCTAATTTTCTACAAAGAAGCTTAAGTGGTTAAATGAAAAATCTGTAAAATGTGGACTTTTTTACGCAATTAATCGAATAATCGTCATAGTAGTTGATTAATCATCAGCTGAAGCTCAATTTCAGATGCATGCAGGCTCAGAGGAGACACCTTGATTCCTCAGGACCACGTCAGGCGAAAATAAAATAAAAAGCAAATAGTGTGTCAAACGTATCCGCAAACACAGAGACAGAAACCCGTTTTACATCAAGGCACATTATCTGCTCCGGTTGCCTGGAAACCAGAGGGAGATACACTCACATGCACAGAATAATGGGTAATTTGTCCCCAGCTGTGTCAGCAACGGGTGGTCAGAGCTGAAGAGCTGCTTCTGCAGTTTTAGTTTACGGAGTAGAAAGAAAAATAAAAGAAAAAAGACTGAAATAAAAGCTGAGTTTTCATCTGCAGAGTTGTGCAAGAAATGTTCAACCACCTCTAATATATTTAAAGATTGGTCTTTATTTGGACTTTTCCTGATTTTTTTGTTTTTCTTGTACAAACCAGTGAAACCCAAATGGTCAGCTCCGATGCTGCTCAGCAGTCTGACACATAAAAACACTGACATGATTTCTCCCACTGCACGGTTACTGCACAGGAATGTTAAATCCGATTACCTCAGATCCAAAAAAACTCGCCTCTGCTTGCATGCTGAGTATAAAAAGAGGAAAATATGCCTAAAGAACTGCAAACCCCAGTTACAGTCATGCAACTTCAAAAGAAAACAACAATTTTAATACATTGACTGCTGGATAAAGTATTTGTTTACTGCCCTGCAGCTACACATGGAAATCAGGCGCTGGATAAATCTGGTAAAATATATTTTGTGTTCTTTTTATTTTTCCCTGACGAATCAACACAACGCGACTCATTTTACATAAATCTACAGAAACTCTTTATAAATGGTTTTATCTTATATTTTCTAAAGTTTTCTTCCCGTTTAGCTCCATCCATCACAACAACTTCAGCCAGCTTTCCTGAGCCTGGTGAAGAAAAGAATCCCACAGCCTGATGCTGCCACCGCCATGTTTCACCATGGAGACGGTGGGATGGTGTTAAAGACTAAAAAGCCTAATTTGGTCAAGGCAAAGTGTAAACAGGCCGTCTAATGCATTCTTCTTACAAATGGGACTCTATTAAACTTTTTATTGAGTTAATTTGCAGAGTCTCCAATTAATTATTTGCCATTAATCCCAACAAAATAAAACCACTTTGGTGCTAAATTATTGAATAAACAACATTATTATTATTGTTTCATTCATGAAACATTCTTAGAAATGTGACATTAGCATTAGCTTTCTGCCACATTCTGTTTAGCACTTAGATGCTATTTTAGGCTAGCATAGTTTTCCTTATAGGCTAACTTCGTTTAGCACAACTTGAACACGATAGTAGTTTTTTCCAGCATCCAATCAGGTCGTTTTTTGAAGCAGAAATTAACTCCCAGTGGGCTAAAAGAAGCTGCTTTATCGCTGTTGTTAGTGGAAGTCACCTGTGCGTCAGAGTTACGGTTGTACCAGAAACATGAATACAAAGTTCCGACTCAGGGCTATCATGTTTGAAGAAAAAAGAAAATATGACCAATTCCGTAAAAAATATTAAATTAAAATCTATGTAACTAATTCATCAAAATTAAATCCCAGCCCTAGTAAAAACACATTTACAGGGTTTTAAGACATTTAAAGACCATTATGAGTGAAATTTAAAACCTGTCTTAAAACAGAAATACACAAAAGAAAATAGCCAACATACATATTTCCAATGAATTTAAGACATTTTAAGGCCTTAAATTTACAAGTATAGACCTCAGATTTCTTAAGGATGTGCAGACTCCCTGATGTAAATATATTATTTAATGATCTTTTCTATTAAGGTTTTCCTAATTAATCAAAATGAATGATTTTGATTTCATTTTATTGTCATGTTCCACAAAGGCGAAAGTCACGACTGAAACTCTGATTCTATAATCAGATCAAGCAGAGAAAACACAACTTTTAGGAATAAATCATCTGCTACAACACTCTGAGACATTTGAACAATATTTTTTTACAACTCATCTGAGGACATTTCTGAGGCAGATTATAGCTACAGTACTAGAGATAGGAACAGTTTACCAATGAATCACAGGGCAACACAAAAAATATCCACATATAGAGAAACCAGTCAGCTGTGCAAGATCAAATCCGCAACCTTATAGCTGTGCAGAGGTGAACAACTGAAGCTTAGACAGCAAAGCCTGAAGAATTATCCAACCAACCATTTAAACAACAAAAAATAGATCCAGGAGCTCATTATGATCACATCCAAAGCAAATTTTGAACAAAAAATGTCTGTAAGTAGCCAAAAATCTTCACATCAAACCTTGGAAACCACATTATTGCAACAGCAAACAATCAACAATCTGCTCCTTCACTCCTTAGCAACATGTTTAAATGTTTCTGATCTTCAAAACAAATGCAAATATCAGCAAAAGGCAGACCGAGTAAAAGCAGAAAGCTGATTTCAAACCAAACTGGCCTTTTGTGTGTTTTAGTTCGATTTCACCAGCCAGACTCACCGCTAGCAAAAAATTAGCTGCACCAACCCTTCAGTGCTAATCTTAAGCATTAGTTCTGCTAACGCTAAAGACACCTCACCCCTATTTGTTGCTCTCCTATTAATAAAAACAGGGGAAGCTAAGTGCGCTAACATTTTCAAAGTTAGGAAAAGCAAAATGGAAAAATTAGCTATGTTATCAGTAAAATTAGAGAAAGCTAAAAGTGCTAAATATTTTCAGAGTTAGGAAAAGCAGAAAGTAAAAAACTAGCTATGCTATTAGGGGAGAAGCAAAATTACGGAAGGCTAAGTCCACTAAATCATGGGAAGCTAAGTATGCTAAACGTTTTCTAAGATAGCAAAGGCGCTAAGCAATAAATTAGCTGTACTATTAGCGGCAGTATGCCCACCACTGCTGAAACCTTCAGAACCAAATCACATAATCAGAACCTGACTGGAAACTTGAAGCAGGCTAAAATATCATGCTACGACTGCATATTTAAGAACGAATGAGAAACACATCCCTTGATATCAATCAGTGTGGAACAATAATATGAAGGATTTTCTCAAAATATAAACAAAAAATTAAGATTTTTGAATGGCCTAGTCAAAGTAGCTGTGGTATAACCCTAAAAAGGCTGATTTAAGGCCACATTTCCTCCACTAAAACCTCATTATGTTATCTTACCTTATGTTTTCCCTTTTAATTCATGAAATCATCATTTGAAACCGCTTTCTGCATTTATTCGGCGTATCTTTGCACTTCTTCCCATCGTAACGGTGATGTAATCCCGAAACCATCGAGGAATGGGTCACTTGTCGAGCAACATTCACGCTTGAAATCAGCCACTGTAAAGGCATCGAGCCCAGAGAGGCGGACTCACCCTGTGAGGACGACCACGAAGTCCATTACATTCCAGCCGTTGCGGAGGTACGAGCCTTTGTGAAACGCGAAGCCCAGGGCGATGATCTTAATGGCCGCCTCGAAACAGAATATTCCAATAAAGTACGGCTCCGTGTCGTCCTGGAGGAAAACGGGGAGGAGGAGGTTGGAGAGCGTTCGGCGGAGCGTTAAGACAAGCAGATGTATTCAGACTCTTTCAACCTTTTCACATTTTGTCACTTTAAAGCCACAAACTTCAATGAAGTGTCAAATTCATTTTCATTTTGGGCCAAACTGAGATTGTGGATGTTCTTAAAGGGCCGGTACTGCCAGGATGCTTTGATAAAACCCACCAACAAATTGTTCAAATACTAATAATTATCTCTGCATTCAATAAGTGCTTCTTAAAATGAAATAATATCCAGTTCTTCCAGTCTTTTGTTTTGTTTTTGTGATTTTTTTTTAATAAAATCAGTGATTTAGAAATATTTGTAAGACATTTTTGATATTTGTGCTCATGTGTGACAGTAAATGTGACTTTTTGCTACTCGCCACATTGATCCCAGACTATGACTTGACTTCAAGTAAGACTGAGGCAGTAGAAGTAAGAAATACCGCCACCTACAGGTGGGAGTGAGCATCACTTAAACCCAACATTTTTGGCTGTCTTGCAGAAACTTTGTAATGAACTCACAATTATGCATCAGTGTGAAAAACTTTGGGGATCTCTTGATTTTACATGAATTGCTGTGAAATTTTATGAATTTTGGAAATTTTCTGAGTTTCAAAATTTGAACATTTTCACCTGTTGAAACTTGTTTTCCTATAAAATTTCTGAAATTAATCTCTAAATTTCGGAGTGGTGGATATTTTTGAGTTCAGAAATGTCCTTGTTTTTTCTAGAAACATTTTGAAATTAATCTCAAATTTCAGATTTTCTATGATTTTTTTTTTACTTTTCATACACAGAAATGTTCACGTTATCCCTCGAATTTTTGAAGCTTAACCTCAACATTTTTTACTTTTTTAAGAATTTTTTTTTCTAGAAATTCTTTTTAGATTAATTTCAAGAGTTTTTCTAGCAAATTTTAGACTTTTAAAAGTCTAAAATTTTAAAATTTTAAAAAATTTCCTTTTTTTTCATAAATTTTCAAAGGTTAGTTTTAACATTTTTTCTACCAATTGTTCAACTTTTTAAACTTAGAAAATTTCAGACTTTTTTTCTAGCAAATTTTTTTACTTTTGGAGCTCCAAAATCTCCAAAAATCTAAAATAAAATTCATTGGGAAATTTTATTTTCCCAATAAAATTTCGGACATTAATTTCAGCATTTCATACTTTTTTCAAGAAAATGTTTGACTTTTGGACACCAGAAGTTTCCTTCTTATTTCATAGAAACTTTCTGAAATTAATTTCTGAAATTCTGAATTTTTTGGCAGAAATTTGCAAACTTGTTCCCCCTATGTTTTAAATAAAAAAAACGAAAACAAATCTGAAGTGATTGAAGAAATTCAACAAATGCAAGTCAAACTGGATTATTTTTGATATGTAAAAGAACTCATGTTTTTTTAAGTAAACCTCAGTAGTTGTGTATTAAAGATAAACTAACAGACTCTGAAAACAGCTGAGGAATCCTCCAAGGACCGACAGGCCAGCCATGAATCTGAAGCGCTTCACTCACCACCTCCACTTGCAGCTCTGTTGACAGAGCTCCAGCTATAATAGCTGATCCCTTGCTCTAATTAAAAGCCATCTTGTCATGTTACATCCTCGAGGTGGAGGAGGCAAAGAGAGGATACTTGTTTTTCCTCTTTGTGTAACCTCGCTAATCACTTTTTTCATGAGCTCAGCACCGCTTTTTGCAGCCGTAATCTCCTCTGAGCCAAGTCAAAACGCAGCCTCCATATCAGGCAACATGTTGCTCACTTTTGTAAAGCGTGAGGCGATGCAACCCCCTGAAGCTGCAACAATCCTCAACAACAGGAGGGAGGAAAGTGTTGGACCGTGCAGCTGGATGGATGACGCTGCGCGTCTTTCGCTCTGTGGCTTAAATTTACATTTAAGATGATGCAAAGAGCAGCAAGAGAAACTGGATCTGCAAAGATGTGACAGATGCTGAATAAAAGTAATGTGCTAATGTAACCAAATATAACTTACCTTTATCTTTCAGGTTACTTTTAGAGGAGCTACTCAAAAGCTAGCATGCTACTTTCACAGACGTTTAAGCTAAGAGACGCAGCTTGGGAAGCTGAAAATACTACTGGACACAATATTCACTGGCATTTACCAAAGTGATAACTGTTTGCTAAAAAGTTAGCTGCGCTAACCGTAAAGCACTAATCATAAACATTAGCTTAGCTAACTGAAGCCGTTACGCCAACTGTATTTCTCAGAAGCTAATGCTACCGCGCTAGCTCCAATTCATTTCCCGAAAGACTGCAACTCTCAAAAACTAGCTTAATTTCGACAACATTGTTTATATTTATTACCTCAATTTCGTAATTTTGTTTATATCTTGTTCTCTACTGTCCTTGTTTTATTTTATTATTGTGTGTTTCTTGTTCGAAATAAAGTTATGGGGGGAACGAGAGGAAATAGAACTGTCGCGTCTTCATCAACTTCAAAATAAGAGCAGGAACATAAACTGCTAACTACTTGACAAGTCTTAAAAGTTGATTACCAAAACTTCAACACATATGTCAAAGTTTTTTTCAACTGGAGGTTTACAAAACACCCAAGTAAATTAGTGTTTTAGATTTATCTGTAAACCGTAATTAAGGGAAAGCTAAGCGTTTTCAAGATTAGCAGCGGTAAATAAAAAAAATAGCTATGCTGTTGGGAACTCTTCCTCTAATAGCCAATCCAGGAGCAGCATTCATTTCCATTGACCCTGATTGGCTGCATTTCCAAGACTGAAAATAAGGAGGATGGTGGATATTAGCATTTGCGGTCTTGCTAACACTGTTTCCACTGTATGTGTTCATCGATATTAGAGTATTTTTGGATGTTTTAACTACTGAAATACTCACCTAAGCTGTTTTTGTCTTTTTTTTTCTTTTTTTTTTTTAGAAAACTGCAAGACATTCAGTAAATAACAGGAAAATTTGAGATTGGGTTTTCATTGTACTCACCAGGCGTTCTGACATCGGCGTCTTGTCGCTAGCAGGTAGATGTTGCTCCAGTGCCAAGACGATGCAGTTGGCGATAATCGTTGCCAGGATCATGTATTCAAACGGAGTGTGAGGGTTAAGGGTTACTCAGGGCATCTCACAGTACAAACTAGCATCACATCACAATGGTTACATTTGTTGATGAAAAACAGAAAACAAGATGACTTTGGAAACAAAGTAAGGAAGCAAAAAAGCTGTTAGCATTATGCTAGAATAAGCTAAACATCAAACCAAAACTGAGTAGCTTTCTGTCCACGCAGTAGAACTATTACTATATTAAGCAGTGGCTCTTTTTATGAATTACCCTTCTTGTTAATGGTGTTGTTCACTGTCAGCTGAGTTACTGTCCAGTTTTTCCTTCCACTAAACTTTTCTTTTTAAGCTTTTAAAGCAGCGACTTTTTCTGGCTTATCCTTCTTGTAAAGAGAGTTGTTGAGTATCTGTTGGACTATTCTCCAGTTTTTTCTTCCACAAATTTTTTTTTACTCTTGATACAGCTCTTTCAACCACCAACTTTTTAAGCAACGACCCCCATAACTACAAAGAAAATATAATAAATAAATGCTTGAAATATATCAATCTGATATATTTATATTTATTAAATTGATTTTATTTGCGTTTTTTAACTGGTTTAATCTTTTATTTTACAGCTGAAAGAGCAACATGAGGAGGTGTTTTTATATATATATATATTTTTTTTTTTTTTTTTTTACTGTACTGAAGAGCAGCGTGGGCGAGTTCAGCACCACGGAGAGCGACTCCAGCTAAAACAACAAGGCGGTGCTGAAGTCACGGACATGCAGCTTCTTGCCATCATGTCTTCAGATAAGCGCGGATCAGATAGACGCTGTTCGCAGCTTTTACTCGTCTCTGCGTAATCAGGAGGAATATCTGATTAGTGTGGAGGAAATCTCCCAGGTGACATTTTGAAAAAAGGAACCTATCAGGAAAACACAATGAAGTCTTTTCAGCGGCTCGGCAAAAACGTTGTTGTGTCAGTTAAACAGAGATAAGGCGCGACAGGTGCAGCCGCAGGAGGCGAACAAAAACACGAGGCTGGAGCGCAAACTCCAAGCTACGGTGGCCCAGTAGGGTCATTATACAGAGGGAAGACAAAAGAGGAATACATTTCTGAGAAAATAAAATCTGAAATTCTGAGATGAAGCTCAGAAATTTTCCAGAAAAACGTGGAAATTTCAGGTTTTTTCTAGAAAATTCTGAGACTAATCTCAGAATTTCAGCGTTTTTTTCTCAGAAATATTTAACTTCCAGGGTTTTTTTCTTTTAATCGTTTTACTCTTCAAACTTGGAAATTTCTGAGATTAATCTCAGAATTTCTGAGTCTTTTTATTGAAGAAATTTGAGTTCTCAAACTTGGATATTTACGAGTATTTTTTATATAGAAAATGACTGAGCTTAATCTGAGAATCTTTTTAGCTTTATTCTCAGAATTTTTGAGTTTCCAAACTCAGAAATTTCTCTTTTTCTAAAAAAAATTCTGAGATTAATCTCAGAATTTCTGAGTTTTTTGCTCCTTTTTTTCTATCTGCCTTGACCCAAACCTGTCTTGGTAAAACTCACATAAATAAGTAAGCAGAGAGTGCAGGCTGGATGTGAAGGATATGGCCACTCTGTTATTCGCTTTGCATACTTCCTGATGAGGTTGTCCTCACGGAAGATGAACAGGGAGCGGTTGACCGTGAGGCAGTTCTGTTTGACGGGGTTCGGGTTGTAAATGGCCATGGTTCGGGCTCTCTGGGCCATGGACTGCTTGTACATCCTCTGCCCGCCACCGCCGCCGCCGCCCCGGGCGCCCCCTCTCCCGGCGCCCGGGGCGCCTCTCCCTCCGCCGCCCGCGCTCCCTCCATAGCGGGTGGGTAGATCGTCTGCGAAGCGAGCCATTCTGGAAACGCACAAGAGGGGAAATCCGAGCTGGTGTCAGTGGGAGTGAAGGGGAGACGCTTCATCCAAAAACCGGAGACAGAAACGGGAAAAATGGGCGGCTTCACTGCGAACCACCTGATCCCGATCCTTTCCATTTACTCATCCTCTGGGAAACCTGCGGGGGGAAAAAAATCCAACTTTCATTGAGGCTGTGGAGGAAAACCCGCTGAGCCCGCCTCAGCCCAGAATCCAGGCAGCATCGCCTCCGGAACACCAGTTGAAGCGTCCAGCATCGGCGCCAAACGGGAAACTCCGTCCTGCTCCCAGAAAGGTGAGGAGGAAACGGGAAAAGGATAAAAATCCCAGCAGCGGCAGCAGCAGCGGAGGTCCGGCGGTTCCTGCTTGATTCGCTCTGGATGGAAACGCGACTCCTCCGAGGAGCGTCAGGACGCGCGCATGTGGCCAAGCGGGAGCGCGCACACGCTGAAACATAATGAAGTTTGGAGGAAAACAAACACGATGGAGGATTAGAGTTAAACTAAGGAAGTAAAAATTAATAAAAATACGGGAAGAAATTCAGAAAATTGAGAGGATAATATCTGAACAAAATAAAGAGAAAATAAAACGACTGGAGTGTCGAAATACTGACTTTATTCTCGAATTATTTCAACTTTATTCTAGAATAATTTCGACTTTATTCTCGTGATGGATGAAAAATAATCAGGAAAGAATTTTGATGTTTAAACAAAGAAAATATCCCATCATTAGTTTTAAACCTTAAACTTTTATTCTTCATAAAAAAATCTACAAAACCAAAACCTTTTCACTTTTAGTTTTAATCACTTCACTGCTTTAATTTAGTCAAAGTAGCATTGAATAAACAAAAAAATCTTACAATTCGGTTCAAAATAAATTGCAATGATTTTATCATTTAATATGAAGTGATTTTAATTAATGCTAAAAGAAACAAAATTGTTTATTTTTTTCCTATTACAATAATGAAGATGTGTGATGAATTTGTTCTACTCACAGTACAAACCTAAAAAAGCAAAGTAAACACCAGAAATACGAAGTGATTCCTCCTTAGCTGGAGATAAATAATATATTCCACCACTTTTCTATGAATAAATAACGAATATCTGGAGTTCTGCTGATGATTAGGGTGACATCTGGTGGTTAGTTTGCAGTACTGCAACGCAAAAGCTGCATCAATCTCTTGGACAAGCTCGTTTTACTAGGGCTGAAACGATTAATCGGATTAGTCATGATTAATCAATTATTTAAATAATTGTCAACTAATTTTATAATTGATTAGTCGTTAACTAGATCATACAGACTCCAAAAATAAGGCCATTTGGGATAAAAACAACAACAACAACATATTCAGAGCAGTAATTAAGCCAAAACTGTACAAAAAATATAAACATTTTGCATTTAAGATATTTTTAAAAATCACCTTTGAATGTAAATATGCTTTAGCCAAAACTCCTGACGTTGTGTCGTCTTATCTTCACTTGGTTCAAAGTTCATAATAGGAATGCTGTCAGATTTCTATTCAGGAAATAAAATGTTTTTCTTACTTAGAAAGGGAATTTAATAATTAATTTATTTGCATCTTTTAATGCATTTTTAATATTGTATGAAAAAAGTGATATGTAGTTTTATGAAAAGTCTGTAGAATGTACCTTTTCCCCCTCAACTGATTAATCGATTAATCGTTAGAATAATTGTTAGAATAATTGTTAGAATAATCAATGAATCTGTCTCTAAATGTTCCGGTTGGTAAGGAAAGCTTTAATAATCCCACTTCATATTATTTTAAAGGTTTTGGATGTGATTGTCACACCTTTGTGTGAGCGGGGAGTTGTTCAGGGTGTCGTGCCTCCACACCGCCCGGCGGACACCGTCCCCTGCTGCCCCGCCGCTCACTCCATCCAAGGTTAAAGTTGTGTCGCATTCCCGGACGGGTTCTTCATGGACGGCTCTCCATGACACCTCTAGAGGCTCCGCAGTGAAAGTGTCTGGCTCCTCAGCGGGGGTCGGGTTCGCTGCGACCCGTTTGGGAGTCCTCTTGTCAGGGGACTGGACCCAACTGTCCTCGTACTCCGCCCCCAGCGTCAGCATCCGCCACGACCCGAACGTGGCTGCGCGGACCGCTGCGGGAAGAAATTTAACATTTTAAGAAGACATTTTTATGGCAAGCCATTAGTGTCAAAAAATTATGAAGCGCTGCAACTCACAATTATTTTAATAATGGATAAATCCATCAATTATTCTGTCGATTAATCGATTAATCGGATAAAAATGGCACAGATTCTACAGATTTTCATTTAACCACATAAATGAAGCTATAAAATCACATATAGTCACTTTTATGCAATATTATAAATACATTAAAATACGAAAACAATTAATTCAACTGTATTTCAAAGTAAGATGAACATTTTATTGCTTATAATTCTGTCAATTAATCAATTAATTTAAAAATAATTATCACATTCTACAATTTCTTTTCATTTAACCACTTAAAACTTTTTTATACAATATTATAAACACATTAAAAGATGCAAATAAACAAATAATTGAATTAATTTTACAAGGTATCTTTTTTTATATCTTAAATGCAAAGTATTCATATTTTTTAAACAGTTATGGCTTAATTACTGCTCTGAATATCTTGTTTTTTTTCCATCAAACTGCCTTTTTTGAGTCTGTATAATAATTAGTCGATTGCTAAATTAGTTAACAATTATTTCAACAATTGATTTTCAAGGTAAGTTTCCAAACTTTGGACATAAAATCAACACAAATGTACAAAGAACACAGTTTCAATTTATTGTTGTAAGATATAATTTATTAATATTATTAATAACGGTTTTTTTTTCCACTACCTTATTCCTTTTGAAGGAATAAAGTAACTAAACTGTAACAAAATGTTATGTTTTGAAACGTCTTTCTTACAAAATCTCCCAATCTCAATAACTTTGATGTATAAAATAAAAACCATATTTCAATACAATAGATCAATAAGTCATTAGGAATAATAAATATTCCAAAATAAAAATAATAAAACGTTTTTTGATATTTTCTTAGAGTGGAACCGGGCAAATAGAAATAATTTTGGTAATTCTGACCAAAACACAGAGAGAAAAATTAAGTTTGATTAAACTTCAGAGTGAGAATTTTCTTTTTGTCTGTTTATCTCCTTATTTCTAAATAATGTTTTCCAAATTTAGTTTTTAATCAGATGTTAGATTGAACTTTATTACAAAACCTTGCAGTTTGAATATTGAGAATTTTCAAGAACTTCCCAAACCTTGAAAGCACAAACAGAAAGTCCAGGACTTTAAAGGATTTCCAGCACCTGAATAAAGTCATTGATGTTGATTTTTGCTGTAATAAAGTGACATATTTAAGAGTTTTCCCCAAATTAACAACTTAAAGAAGAAAAATCAAGATGGCAGAGCTTTTGTTTCTGTGTTGCCATTTCTACAAAATAAGAAAATTTCCTTCTGAGTTGGTAAATTTTTGGCAGGAATCTGCCGCGGACGTACCGTAAACCAGCGTGGATCGCCGCTCGGCCCATCTGGACGTGTGGGGAACCGACCTCCGCATCTCTGCGGCCCAGCGGGGAGTCTCAGGTGGTTTATGCGGGTTTTCTTAATGCAAAGCGCAGAAACTTTCCGTTTTTCCCCGCCCCGGAATGCGGAAAGCCGGCTTCCTGTCGAGGCGCTGATTATCGGACTCGCCATCTTTTCTGCTTTGGGAAACTTTCCTCTGGTTCGGGTCGTGTTCGGTCCGGAAGGGAGCAATCAGCGCGTCGTTTAAACTGAAAAGCCCCGCAGATTGCCGCTTCCTGCAGCTTCCTCCTCCTGGCTGTCCCAGACAACAGATATTTTATCAAACTGGAACTTAAATGGATGAAAAAACAACAAACGTTTATATATTCTGCTCTGCAGTTAAATGGTTCGCTCGGATGGGGGCGCTGCGGAGAGAGGGCGCCACAATAAAGGAGACCACAATAATTATTTCTTGTTCTAATTTTCTGTTTTAACAGCTGGTCGTAACTTTTCATGCCTGTCACTGATTCTCAATTTATGAGGAGGGTGAAGCTGCTCTCCTCAGCATGATGCTGCCACCACCATGTTTCACCATGACAATGTAGTTTTCTAAGGTTTTAATTTTCATCAACGCAAAACTGCAGCCAGGAATTTTTTTGTTGATTTTTTAAAAAGTTTTTCCATAAAGACAAAATAATTTGAGTTCATGATAATCAACAGATTATTCCACCTGAGCTGGAAACTCTGCAGCTCCTCCAGAGATACAGCAGGTCAGCTGAGCGAGGAGGAGGGAGGTAAGGAAAGAGAGGAAAACATACAGTCTAAAAGGAAAATAGTTGAACCAATTTAATTTAATTGCTTCTATTCGCAACAAGCAATTCAATTAAATTTATCCAACTTAATTTATTAAGTTTAACCAATTCAATATATTATAATCATCCAACTCAATTTGTTAATTTTTTTTTTTTTTTACAAATTTATTAAGTATGTTTAAGATAACAGTTTTAAGTCAGTCTTACTCAAATCATTTAGTTTACTTCAAAAATGGTAAATAAACTTATATAGCGCTTTTCCAGTTATTTTGACGACTGAAAGCACTTTACACTAGAGTCACATTCACACATTTATTTTTAATGTGCAGATCAGTAGGCAACTTGGGGTTAAGTGCCCAGGGGTACATTGACATGTGGCAGGAGGAAGCTGGAATCAAACCTACAACCTTCCGATCACAAGACGACTATTCAACCCACAGAGCCGTCATGGTGTCAGATGAGGGATACAAATATGGTATTGAACTTAATTATTTCAAGTAAAGTCAAAGTAAAACGGTCATTTAAGGAAAAGATTTGTGTATTTAGAGGACACTGTAAAAATAATATTAAAATTTAGTTTGGAACTACTTAAAAGTTTGAGTTGACTTTCTGTAGAATTAAATCAAAGAGATTTTAAATGTTTATTAGAACAAAATAAATGATTTGAGTAAGAGTGACTTAAATTTGTCATGTTAACCCCCTTTATGAATTAAGCTATAAAATCTTAGCAAATTGAGTTGGAAGGACTTAGTGAATTGAGTTGGATGATCATAATAAATTGAGTTGGTCAGACGTAGGATGCGAAACTGGCATTGAACTCAATTGTTTTAAGTAAAAGTCAAAGTGAAAAGTTCCTTTAGGTTAAAGATTTGTAAGTTTTGAGTTAAATGAACACAAAAAAGTAAGTTGTTATAGCAAAAGCAAAAGAATTAAGTGAAATTAATGTAAATAAGTCCATAAGATGAACTGCAGCCCAAAAACACTTTTTAGAGTGCAGCTCTGATTTACATATTCTGCTAAATTGCAGGTTTGAATATGG